GGGCTGGTGGGGCCACTGCGACCGCCATGGGCACAGATGAGGAGGGGGCCAAGCCCAAAGTGCCGGCTTCGCTACTGCCCTTCAGCGTGGAGGCCCTCATGGCTGATCACAGGAAGCCCGGGGCTAAGGAGAGCGTCTTGGTGGCCTCCGAGGGGGCTCAGGCAGCGGGTGGCTCGTTGCAGCACTTGGGCACTAGGCCCGGGTCGCTGGGCGCCCCGGACCCGCCCTCCTCGCCCCGGCCTCTCGGCCATTTCTCAGTCGGGGGACTCCTCAAGCTACCAGAAGATGCTCTGGTGAAGGCCGAGAGCCCCGAGAAGTCAGACCGGACCCCATGGATGCAGAGTCCCCGCTTCTCCCCGCCCCCAACCAGTAAGTAGCCAGCCTAGAACAGAGAGCGAAGGGGCCAGAAGGGGGTGTGGGGCCCGAGGGCGCCAGGCCGCGCGCCGGCGCCGGCTTGTCTCGGGCGTCGGCGTACCTGCATCTGGGTACCTGGAGGCCATGAAGAGGTTGCGTTGGCGGGGAGGAGGCCTTTTGAGCCTCTTCTCACTCCCACCCAGGAAGAGAGTTAGAGGCTTCGAGCTGGCAAACCCCTCAGTCCGTTTTCGTGGGCTCCTTGCCTTGGCACAGTGCCCCTGAGTGTGTCAGTTCATTTGTAGCGCGCGGGTGTTTGTACACCCTCTTATCCTTCCTGTACTTAGGACACGGAGGGTTTCCTGCTCCTCCACCTGACCCTAAACACAGTTATTTTGCACCCTACTTAGATGGGCCCAGCGGCCAGTACATCTTCTCTCTGCGGAGTTTCACTTTCTGGTAGTAGCACCTCTCCAGGGATTCCGGAGCTCTGCAAAACTCCTCCCCTACCCATCAAGTTATGAACAGTTACTTGGTGTGCTGGGCCAGTGGATGATGTAGCAAGAGGGACAATCGTGAACAAGTGTGTGTGTGTGTGGGGGGGAGCAACACGACAGCCAAAGGAGCGCCCCATTTATCGCTTTGCTAGCTTCGGAACGTGTTGGACCTGGCTTTCAAAGCCGACCCAGCAGCCAGCGACGTGTTACAGGATAGTCCTAAATCCTCGTGGCCCTCAGGCGTCTTTACCCAGCGAACCCGCTTGAAGATATTTCAGGAGCACGGGAAATTCCCAAGTTTTCCTCGTTTCCTCCGATTATTTCGTACCACATAATAGCATTGCAAATTCAATGGCGTGATGCTGAGGAACGATTTTTATCTGGGGATTAAACGTCTTTGAAAAGACAGCCCCTCCCTGGGCCTAACAGTTGGTGAAGGTGGCCCAGAGCTGGGCTATTGATGCTGACCAAAGTGACATTTCCCTATGAACCCTCCCTTCTCTTGGCGGCCTGGCAGAAAACGAGTCTGGGGCCAACTTCTTTCCGGACTTGCCTTAGCCCGAGCTGGGGAAGAAGGGGAGATGTTAACTGGAAATTTCGTTTGACTCACATCCTAGTGGTCTGAAGACCCAAAGGGTTATTTTTTTTTTAAGTGCCAAGAAATGCATAGTTAGGCAAAACCCGCATGGTGAGACATCCTCAATTTCAATTCGCTTTCTTAAAGGAAAAACTGCTGCAGAGGCAATGCATCCTCCTGGAGACTTAGGAATTTGGTTTAGAACTTCAGCCTCTAGGACCCCAAGTCAAGGCAATCCCTAAGTGTGTGTATGTTGTGTGTGTTGTTGTGGTGGTGGTGGTGATGTGTGTGTGTATATGTGTGCAGGTTTGTTTTATCCTGCAACAGTGTTGTCAGGCATAGCAGAGGTGATGGAGGATTGAAACCCAGTCCCCTAACTGGGCCTGCCCTCCAAACAGTGGCAGCACTCAGCTGAGATTTAACCTTTACTGGGAAAACTGAAAGAAAAGATTAGTGGGCATCACCAGTCACTGGAAACTGAGCTATGTTGGAGAAGCTATCACATCCCCCACACTAGGCTTGCTGTGGTCCAAGAATCCTGGCGCTGAGTTTAGGAGACTGTTAGGGAAAACTGAGAGCAGCACATCTACATGATATGTCCTCATATAAGAATTGTCACAGTATGACCTCTTGGATGGCTCTTTTCTTTCGATTGTCCCTAGAGCCCAGTAGAAGCATGCTGTTTGATAGAAAGTGTGGAATTTCAAGATCCATTCTAGGGTTGGAGAGATGGCTCAGCAGTTATGAGCACTGACTGCTCTTTCAGAGAACCTGGGTTCAAACCCCAGGCACCCACATGGCTGTTCACAACTGTCTGTAATTCCAGTTCTAGGGGACCAAACACCCATAGCAAAACATCAATTCATATAAAATAAAAATAAGTATTTTTTAAAAAAAGTAGTTCTATGCAGTGGCCTACCTCCAATGCAGTACATTTGGTGGACACAAATACAAATGTATAACTAAGGTATAAAACCCAGTATGGCCTTAGGTTGGCCTAAGGGCCTCTGAATGTTTTATGGCCCCCTTAGCATTCATCTTCCTCTGTACAGTGGCCCAGAAGAGGCCCAGGGAGGGGAAGTCCTGACTTTAAGGTAGGTTGGCACTTTTGCAAGTGCTCCTTAGTGCCTAGCATAGATGTGCTTGGGCGAAATCAGTGCCTAGAGTGGTTTCTGTTCTTTAGTAATACACTCTTAACTCCTTGCCTTTTTCTTCTCCCGGTCCCCTAGGGAGACTGAGTCCCCCAGCCTGCACCCTACGCAAGCACAAGACCAACCGCAAGCCGAGAACGCCCTTCACCACCGCGCAACTGCTGGCTTTGGAGCGCAAGTTCCGCCAGAAGCAGTATCTGTCCATCGCTGAGCGTGCCGAGTTCTCCAGCTCGCTCAGCCTCACCGAGACGCAGGTGAAGATCTGGTTCCAGAACCGCCGCGCCAAGGCCAAAAGACTTCAGGAGGCCGAGCTAGAGAAGCTGAAGATGGCCGCGAAGCCCATGCTGCCGCCTGCCGCCTTCGGCCTCTCCTTCCCTCTTGGCAGCCCTGCTGCAGTGGCGGCGGCCGCGGGTGCCTCGCTCTACAGTGCCTCTGGCCCTTTCCAGCGCGCGGCGCTGCCTGTAGCGCCTGTGGGACTCTACACGGCCCATGTAGGCTACAGCATGTACCACCTGACATAGGTGGGTTCAGAGTCGCCTCCCTGTGGTGCCACTACCCCACACCCCCAGCCACCTCTTCTAGCAGCTGGAATCCTTCGTAGGAAGCCCCACACCGCCTGGTCCCTTCTCTTAAGCCCCCTTACTACAGTTCCTCCAGTTCCTTCCTCCAGTTCCTCCAAGTCTGATTCCATTTGGGGGGAAAAGTGGCTGGAAGGGTCTGGATTCTTTGAGAGAATCTAGATTTACACCCGCGAGTTATAGATGTGGAAATTAAGGGCACCGAGGCCAAGAGATTTATCCGTGGTCCCCAGCAGAATTAGAGGTTGAAGGAGACTAGAGGCCAAAACGACTAGAGGCCATGACTGTATCAGCTGCTTCCGGTTCTGGAACCAGGCAGGGCTTGGGCGGAGAAATTGCTGTTTGGTGCTTCGGGAAATGAACACAGTCCTATCTAGAAAGCAAGGAGCCCAGCTCCTTCAACTGTCAGACTCCAAGAGCTTTAGCAACAAAGCATTGCTCTGAGGGGGCAGGGCGCATGCTGGTGCTTTACCAAGGTAGGTAGAAGAGAATTTCCCAGGACCAGGAAAAAAAAAGTAAAAAACCAATCTGTTTCTATTTAACAGTACATTTTCGTGGCTCTCAAACATCCCTTTTGAAGGGATCGTGTGTACTATGTAATATACTGTATATTTGAAATTTTATTATCATTTATATTATAGCTATATTTGTTAAATAAATTAATTTTAAGCTACAAGATATGATGTCTGCGGATTTAGTTAAGTGTTTTACTCTTCATTCTTTCTCTTCACAAATACAATTGCTTTCCAGTTTGTTGGCAGTTTTACATTAGCAACTTTCAAAAGCGGCAGGAAGATGTTCAGGAATCATTTTGGGGGGCATGCAGGAGAGATTTGCATTAACACAGTCAAGTGGAGAATTGGAGCAATTACCTAGAATAATTAGGCTCAATTTTCCAATTCACTTTAAGCTGAAATCGACACTTGCTCTTTCCACCCATAACTGACTCCTTTTTCCTTCTCCCCCTTTAAACTGTCTATGAAAACAAAGTGACTCAGCCTAAATGGTTTGATGACTGTCAACAGCTAATCCAGACAATTCCTGTCCCCTCAAACCTGTTTTTCCTACTGAAGGGGGGGGGTTATTTATCTCTAAACAGCCACCAGTGTAGACACAATGTGTGAGTTTCATTTTGAGCTTTGCACGGCTAGCCCCTGCCCCTTACAACACAAAAACATACAGCTACACCAAATAGTACCAAAAACAAAACAAAACAAAACAAACAAAAAACAGGACTACCTTATACCTGGGCCCTGGTCTCCTACCCACTTAAACTGGGTTTTTCCTTTATGTAGTCAAGTTCAGGCGATCAAGAAAATATAAGTGAAAGTTTAATCTTCTGGGGAAAAATTCTTCAAGGATGTTAAGGACAGAAAATGGTAAATCAAACCTATTATCCAACCCCATTCTCTTTCTCTTGTGTAGTGACAACCCTGTAAGTCTCACCAAATCTAGGTGCTCGCCTCTATCAGCCTCCATCTAATGGGAGCTCGAATATTCACGAAAGAGATCCCTGGGAAACCTTAGTCCAGAGATGTCAGGAGGGGGAACCTAGACCCTTAGTACCTAGTGTTGGATTGGGGGGAGATGTGGACATCT